ACCACCACTACTACCACCACCACCACCACCACCACCACCAACGCCTTACCAGAAATCAACACTCACACACCTTATGCGCCCAACTGCCACCTCCCACGCAAGTGGGAAGTCCGCATCTCGACTCGGTCCCCATGCGGCTTCGGCTGCACGGGTGACTTGAGTCCGAGACTATCCCGACACGTCAAGCGTCGTGAATATGAAGGTTGCTGATTGACGCCCGCACTCGGTTCACGCAGTTCGTCGCGTTATGTGTGTGTGTTGTGTGTGGAGTGGCGGACTGGTTGGCTGGGGACGGGCTGAAGCTGCACCTTCCACGGCCCTCTCACGCAAGTGAGTGACACGCCGTTCAACCCCCGTTGTGCGAAATCCTGGTGTTGTGTGTATGGGGGCTAGGTCGTGCCGTGGCGCGCGCAGTCATGGTCAGTCGACCATGACAGCCACCGCGTCCATTCCCGACTCCAGTCTGCGGACCGGCTCGGACAGCGGCTGAGGTGTGGGAGTGGGAAGGGAGAGTGAGGTCGACGACTCAGGGCACTTTCCTCATTATAAACAATCTGACGCGCTTGAAGCTATAACGGTGCGCTAAAAGCCGTGGCTTGGAAGCTTGCCAACTGACGGGGTATCTTGGACCTCCTCCTTGACTGGAGGCGGCCTGAGAGTCAGGCGGCAATGGCTCCTTCGTAATGTGGTCTTTATGGCACTCCCATCACAGTGTGGGATCCGAGCCAGGCGTTGGCGGAACGTCCAGGTGCGGCTTCGGCCGTGCCAGCCTCCAAATCTCTGTTGTTGGTTGAAATCCTGGTTATTTGTTGTGTGGAAAGGGGGTGTGGTGGAACACCAAGGTGAGGATCCGTCCGAGCCATCCCCCTGCGGCCTCCCTCGTCTCCGGTCTTCTTGACTCTGTCTTGACACCGGGCTCGGGCGAGGGAGGAGGAGAGAGTAAAGGTGGATGCTACGCAAGTCTACCGGCGCTATAAACCCCTGCGTAAGTCACCGTCCCTGCTCCCATTGCTGCTGCAACTGTGGGGCACACGGTGGACATCATCGAAACCGATGGTCGAACTGTCAGGTGGTAAGAAATTTGGAATGCTAAAGTGATTTGGCTTATTCCCATGCCATGCCGGTGGATTTTGGGGAGTCGAGGTTTAGTTATAGAAGCTTCGTTGTTTCTGGTTAGAGTTAAGAGACCTCCTATTTGTTATGTCTATATATTATGGTCGTTTTTGTTGTGCTGGCGTGCTTAATAAGGCCTTTTGGTTTGTGTATCTTGTTTGACAGTCGGTTTCTGGTACAGGTTAATCATAGGCCAGCTTGCTGAGCCCGATCTCCAAATGCGAAAGGGGAGACGCAGGAAGAGTTGAGAGTGCTGAGCTAGATGGTTAGGAAAAACCGTGCGTCACCATTAACCGATCGGCCATTTGAGTAAGTTGCGCTGCCGAAAGAATGCCAAAGGCGGGTGCCAAAATATGCTGAACTCCCGATGGAAAATTGTCCATTATCAGTGCCTGACTTTATCGTAGATCAGGAAGAAGGAAGATTGCTGTTTGCAAGGAGTCACCAATTGTCGAAAGTGGTGTGGTCGATAAGACAAAGATTCCCAGTCATAAGTGAGGGAAGACGGAGTGATCTGGACAACCTTTACTGTTTTGGAATTGCGTACACAAAGACTCTGTAGGCAGTCGTCGCGAGCGCGC